AAATTAGAAAAATAAAAAAATTAGTATCAGAAATTGTCAATCAACTTCGGTTGGCAAAAAAAAGACCTAAACAAATGAATAAATTTAATTCGCGAACTACCAAACAATTTTTCTGATGTTTACAGAACCAAACGTAATAGACAAAAACTGCGCATGTGCGTCAGCAGTTTGAATTTAACATTCTCGAACTTTCTACTCTAACAAAATTCGGTACCGTTTTTTTTTTTTGTTTTTTTTTTTTGCTCTTCCTATATTTATTTAACGCGTCATTTCTTGAAAATATTAATCTGTTTATAACATATTTTTAAAGTAAAATCTTTGTTCATCCTGCATTCACCGAGAGTACTTTTATGTTCAGTTTTGTTTGGCACAAGGCAAAGCCAGTTGAGCATCTAGTGAGGATCGAATTGACACTAACCAAAACATTCACTGGAACAGCATGGTAACTATAAATAGTTATCCTTTACACCTGAGTCTATATGTAATATCGGTGGTTTACACCCGAGTCTATCGGTAAACATTGACCGTTTACACATGAGTCTATCGGTAAATATTGGTAGGTTAGACTTGAGTCTATAAATGAATATTTATTGCTTACACCTGAGTCTATAGGTAAATACTGGCTGTTCACAGATGAGTCTATAGGTAAATATTGGCCGTTTACACCTGAGACAGTTCGCTTGTACTTTAATCTATAGGTAAATATTGGTCATTTATACCTGAGTCTATAGGTAAATATTAGTCATTTATACCTGAGTCTATAGGTAAATATTGGTCGTCTATGCTAGAGGATGTAAGTAAATATAGGTCATTTATACTTGAGTCTATAGCTAAATATTAGTTATTTATACCTGAGTCTTTAGGTAAATATTGTTCATATATACCTGAGTCTATAGCTAAATATTAGTTATTTATACCTGAGTCTGTAGGTAAATATTGGTCATTTATACGTGAGCCTATAGGTAAGTATTACTCATTTATACCTGAGTCTATGGGTAAATATTGGTCATTTATACATGAGTCTATAGGTAAATATTAGTCATTTATGCATTTATTCAGTCTATAAAATAAATATTAGTCATTTAGTATTTAAGTCTATTTCTAAATATTGGAAATTTATATTTATACCACCAGCCCGGATATATATATATATTAGTCATTTATAACTGAGTCTATAGGTAAATATTGGTCATTTATACCTGAGTCTATAGGTAAATATCGGTCGTCTATGCTAGAGCATGTAAGTAAATGTTGGTCATTTATACTTAAGTCTATAGGTATGAATAAAGGTACCATTTCTATAAATGCATTCTTATACTTCCAACGAAATTTGACTGCAATAATAATATTTTTAAACTGATGGAGAGCGATATCCCTCTCGACATTTTCTTTCATGTGACAAGTTCTTTCAAAATGTGGGCTTACATGGCTCTCCACACTTTCCCATTCTTTCTAGCTCTCAGCAATGTTTTTCTCTTCACTATCCATCCCACTATCAGTTCTGCCATCCATTTGAACAAGTTTTCTAAGTATACTATTCATTATTTCTTCATACTTCCTTTGCCCTCAGTATGCCCTGTGAATGTTAAATTCCCTATATCATTTATCGTTGTGTCCCATAAATGTCAACTGTCTCGTTTTGATTGTAAGTGTAAGTGCTGCATATCCCCTTTGTGGGGGTTTCTTAGGCGACGGTGTTGATTCACTTATATGTTGTAACTTCTCTCTTTTCTCTTTGTCATTGTTGTAACCTAGGAAATCTTACTGGAAAAAGAATAATGAAAACAGTGATTGGAAATGAAATGGTAATCTTTATAACATCAACAAAATACAATACTCGCCAGCGGCGTGAAGTAGGTAAACCACTGCTAGTGCTGAACTACTTAGACAGCATATTACCCCCACTTACAATAGTGTCCAACGTATTTATGAGGATTGGGACACACCCATTGGTGTTCATAGGTACGGTATATAACAGTCATCTACCGGCCGGTGATCGCAAGTCGTTTTGGTTCGGAGAAGTTCAACAAAGATAATTTTAAATTCGACTATTTTATTAACGTCGACGTATACATCTCTAACTATCCGGTAGAGTCGCTTTCTCACCCCACTGGGGAGCAGTTTCCAGATACGAATGGAACACGTCTACATTGTTTGACGGTTTAGCCTCGATTTCCAAAAACCTTTTCTCTATCTATCTTTCTCACGCTGGCTCAGTCAATCAAAATCGAATTCCTTTGTTTTGTCTTGCATCTGACTGCTAAGGTCAAACTGGGGAAGTCATAGCTGCGATACACTTCTCTAAAAGATAATAGTCTGTTAAACTATTATTTAACATAAATTTGGGTGTAGTCCCTATTTTCCTTAAGACTTCCTTGTTATTCACATGTCCTGCCCATGTTATTCGTTGATAGAATCACATTTCTGTCGCTTAATCAGTGAAGAAATTTTCTAGCATTCACTACCATGTAAAGAGAATAAATATAGTTCAACATCCCTTTCTATGTATCAAGCGATATTCTCCTGTGTCTTTATACTTTTCTTACTTTCTGGAAGTCATCTTTAGCCATTAACAGTGCGCCTTCATATCTGTTATGGGATCTTACCAATAATAATAATAATGGACTATTCCTTACTTAATAAATACTGCGTCTCAGGAGTAGGCAAGGAGTGAGTCAGTAGTTCAAGTCGAGTTAAGAGTCGAGTCAGAGGCAGTCAGAAACAGAGTCGCGTTCAGACAATTACTGCAAGACATTGGAATAGTGATACTGGTCGAGACTACATTGTTCTCTCTACTAAACCTGATTGTTCATAATAACACTTTTACTTCTCTGTATATATTCCTGTTTGTAATATATCTGTGTTATTCCATATCCATGTTCGTGTTGTTCTTTATTGGTTCTACCTTGGACTATCACCGTGGTACAAGGAACCGGACCATAACAATATCTCTATATCTTACTATATTACCCAGATTAGTTCATTTTCTGTAACTGCTTGATTCTGACGTCCCCAATGCGTAGCTCACACCTTGGCTTGTCTCTTTTTCTGACGAATCAGATCTATTTATTATAGTCTCTAGTCTTATTTATGTAGTGTTTGGAATGAACATGGATTCTCTATAAGAAGTTGAAGATTTTATATTTACAAGAACATATTAAACATTCAAATTGCCTCATGTAACTAAATATTAAGGTACTCATCATAGAATTTACGCTATTTACATGAATTCACGCACTTTCTTGTACGATGATGAAACATAGCAAGTTTTGTTTCACTCGTTTTAGACCAGGCATGAACAATCATTTTCGAGTAATCGGTTGCATAATCTATGGATCATCACAAGGCGGACCGCACTATTAAAAAATCAAGGTAATTTTTCGTAGTAGGTACCTCAGCTAAATTTCACTACAGAAGATCATATACGTAAGTATATATCATAGAGATGGCGGAATGGTTTGTTGTCTTTATTTTTTAGAAAAGATTTTTCCATAATTAAAACTTGGTCTTGGTATAATATTATCGCTAATGACAGAGTAATTAACACATGGTGTTGCATGTAATTTATTTTTAATTTATTCATTAAAAAACAGGGATAGCAACTCAAATACGTGTACCCACTAAAACAGCGTTTATAGTGATAAGAAACGATCGTCCGGTTCACACTCCTTCTCGGGCTTTTGAACAGGATTAGAGGTTTATCCCTTGTTTCCTGTTTAGTATTGGTTTTCCAGTTCCTTCTAGAGGCTACTTCGATTTTCTACTTATAACGTCTCCGACTGAAGACTGAAAATTGAAATTATATTCACTTATTTTTTTTAATCCTCAATAAAAGTAAACAGATTCGCCTATGGTCCGGTTCCAATGCCTCCCTTTTCTTTTGAACAGGGGTAGCGCTTTATCCCTTGTCTCCTGTTTAGGATTAGGTTTCCGTCTTTCTAAAATCTTTTCATTTTCTTTCACGTCCAACAGCCCTTTGCGTCTTAGTGGCATTATCGCCTTGATTGAGGTGAACTAATTAAAATAAATGTCGGATAAAAAAATTCATTCTAAAACATTCTCTCCGTATCTGTCTGTATTTCTGAGATGAGGTATTATGTACAGTATTTACATTATTCGGACTATTGTCCTCATCTTTGTCGCCATATTTATTATAACGTTTCGGCCGTTGTACGTTCCGGCCTTCTTCAGTTGGTTGGAATGTTGAACTGAACCCTTTATTTCGCTCACTGGGGTAGACTGTTCTAGTGCCACGTGCCATGTTTAATGGATGTCAGTTATCAGTTATCTCCTGTTAATTCGCCTCTCCAATTCTCCACTGCCTTAACCAGGTATTGAACTCAGGCTCTGGGTCCTGCCACTTGGATTTAACCAACGCTGGTTAGATCCAGTGAAAAAACCCAAAGACTGACATCCATTAAACATGGCACGTGGAACTAGAACAGTCTACCCTAGTGGGCGAAATAAAGGGTTCCATCACCTGCTGCTGCTGCTGATGCGGCATTCACCCTGGGCGGATTGAGCCGGCTTCTACCTGTTATGAGAATATTCTTGGGATAAATTATATATATATATATACCCAGGCCTAATTTTGATAACGTTCTTGCTTTGCCGCGGAGTTCCCACAGACGCAGAGACAGGAACGACCAGAAGCCGCCGGTTGCCGATGCAGACGCTCCTTGATTTTCACCAGAGCCCTTGTTAGCCGGCGTAAATGTAGACCTGTCCGCCTTAGGTGGCCTGACCAGGAACGAAGTTCCGGGCGGCATAAATACATTTACTATTTACATAACACCGACTGTGAGGTATATATTGGACTTTTATCTTTACAGTACCAATATGAAGAATTCCGGAGCCTAAAACGGCCGAAACGTTGTAATTAATATGGCGACAAAGATGATTGAAAATAGCCCAAATAATGTAAATAATTGAAAATATTCTCTTCCTTTTCTCTCTCTATATATATATATATATATATATAGATAGAGAGAAAGAAGAACGAAGATAGAGAATAGATAGATAGAGAGAGAGAGAGAGAGGGGCACACAAACAGAGATAGAAACAGACAGAGAAAAGAAAATAGAGGGGAAGAGCGAGATAGCTAGAAGTGGAAAGTAAGTACAGATGACAAAATGGCTATCAGCCATTAATCGAGAAAGGATTTGAATTCTGACTGAGACTCTAATAATACTTTTGCAGAAATACCCTGGGTAAAAGGTACGAATACCTCCCGCTGTGTCCACGGTATCAAATAACTGATCCACTGTCCAGCAATTGCTTAATCTGCCCTGGCAGAGATTATTTTAGCCAAAGCTATCGTTGTCCATTGTCAGCCTTGAATGAAAATGCACTGAGAGTGTGTTAGCGTAGGATAATATAGGTGAGAATGCTTACAAAAGAGCGGATGGTCGTCTTTGGAAGCTGTAGTCAACGTTCCCCCTCCCAGCACAGAAGATATAAATTATTGATGAAGTGGAATCTATAGAAGCACAGACTTACTTACTACCCCTTCCTCTCTCCCCCAACAGGCAAACAGGCAGGCTCTGATCGATGTGCGTCGGTGCACGACAGATGGCCAGTTATGGCATCGGATGACACGGCTCGTGGCTCAGAAGCGCAGGTGGACCATTAGCAGCGCTTTTTGCAAAACTGATTATTTGTCTCCTTAAAACCCGTGGCGCTAGACAGTTGCGAACGTCACACATCGCACGAAGACCTACCTACCTATCTCTCTCTCCCTCTCTCTTTCTCTATCTCTCGCTTTCCCAACGAGCAGAAAGTTCTCAGCCCGACCCCACTTGCCAAAAGTTGACCAAATGATCAAAGACAATTTATATTAGATTTATTCTTTCTATATTCTATATATATATATATATATATATATATATATATTTAATACGGGATAGCAAAGTATTTAACACATTGGTTTTTCTTACATATCTCGAAAATAACAGATCAATTTCAACGAAATATTTAATATTTAATATAGGAAATATTTAAACTAACATTGTCGATCAAAACAGAAGGGAAATTTAAAACCACTGTTTTGAGAAACATTTATTAACAATAAATAAAATAACCCATATGCAAAAGTATTTAACACAGAAAATTATAATATTTTTAGAGTAGCCTCTGTTCTGCTTCACAGCCTCCAGTCGTTTCCCGTAGTCTTCAACTAGTTTCTTGCAGGTACTTGTTGGTATTTTGATCCATTCTTCACAAATTTTCTTCAATTTGTTTAAATTCGATGGATTTCTTTTATGAACTCGTAACTTCAATAGTTTCCACAAATTTTCAATTGGATTTAAATCCGGTGACTGGCTTGGCCATTCCAGGACATTAATGTCATTATTATTAAACCAATTCTTAGTTGTTTTAGCAGTATGCTTCGGGTCATTGTCTTGCTGAAATACAAAATCACAATCATGTCCCTAAGATGTGGCACTATTCAAGAGTTGAGTTGACAAAATTTGACTGTATTTTGCAGCATTCATTGTTCCTTCGATGATTTTCATTTTTCCTACTCCCTTTTAGGAAAAACAACCCCACATCATAATATTTCCACCCCCATGTTTGACTGTACGGATGGTATTTGCTGGCTCGTATTCCACCCCTTTTTTCCTCTATATATGAGTGCGCATGTTTCATCCGTAAAGCTCAATTTTTTTTTTTGTCTGACCAAATTACTTTCTCCCAGAAATCATTAGATTCAATTTCATATTTCTTTACAAAATTCAAACGGGCTTGTACATGTCGGCGTTTCAGTAATGGAGTCTTTCTCGGTGATCTTGAAGTGAGACCTGCACGATTCAGTGATCTTTTAATTGTATCTTTACTAACTTCAATTCCGGCATTTTTCAAATCATTCTGAATTTCTCGACGAGTTGAAAATGGATTTTTCTTCACAGTACGGGAAATATATCGCTCATTACCCTCATTTAAGATACGGGGACAACCACTCCTTTGAATGTTTTCAATAGTATCGAATTTTTTCCATTTTCGAACAACAGCACCAACTGTACTCACTAGCAAATTCAAATCTTGAGCGATTTTTCTATATCCCTTACCATCTTTGTGATTCTTTATGATCATCTTGCGCATGTCGTTCGACAATTCTTTTGTTTTCACCATTTTCTTGCAGTAGTGGCAACAGAATAGCTGCAGTGTCTCAAAGCTGTTATCTAATAGCCAGTTGAGTGTCGTGCAGTGCTGTCATTGGTCGACATATCGCATCATATCATTATGGGTAGAAATCATGACGACACGTCTCTTCTAGCATAATATTTGCATTGGTGTTAAATACTTTTGCATATGGGTTATTTTATTTATTGTTAATAAATGTTTCTCAAAACAGTGGTTTTAAATTTTCCTTCTATGTTTTGATTGAATGTTCGTTTAAATATTTCCTATAAGTTTCGTTGAAATTGATCTGTTATATTTAGATATGTAAGAAAAACCAATGTGTTAAATACTTTTTTATACCCACTATATATATATATATATATATATATATATATATATATATATATATATATATTTATAGGATTGGTGTATACAGCTAATAAATTCCAATAACCAGCAATTACTATTCTTAAAAGAGTGCTCAATACACAGTTTAAAAAATATAATTATTTATTCGAAAATTATAACATAAATGTGTTATAAAATCATTATTAAAAATAGATATTTTGTTTCAACACAACCTGTATCTTTTCAAGTGATGATGTTGAATGTATATATATATATATATATATATATATATATATATATATATATAAAAATATAGTCTTAAGATATGCTATATATATGGGATAAAGTGCTCAATATCGGAGATAGAGCGTGTTTCTGACGATTGCATCTAGCATGAAACAGACTGTTTATTCTAAATGTTGACTTCTATGTTCATATATATATATATATATATATATATATATATATATATATATATATATAGATATATATATATAATCTGTAATTTATATGTATATAAAATTAGGCCTTAACATTTAGGCAGTTTCGCATTTCCGCCGGTTTAAATTGCTATTTAAAAGCAACATTTTCTGAAAGTCTTGTTCTTAAATAGCCTTCAGATCAAGACATTTATATGGATGCCCTGCATGGCGCAAATCCGTTCAGAAATATCTAAACTGTTTTCTATAGAAACGTTTTTTAACATTTTTTAAATCATTGAATTTCTTAGTACTGTTGTATTAAAATGAACGACATCATTGTTCTCCTCGGACTACCAACAGAAAAAAACATAAATATATATATACGAAGAGAAAATAACGAGTTAATCAAGATATTAAATTTCCACACCAATTCAAATCTGAGGCTGAGAAGAAAACGCCATAACAATACTAAAAAAACCTGATAACAGCTAAACCCACTTTTTAAACCTGTTTTTTTCAAAAAACATATTAAAAATTAGGATTTTATAAATTTCAACTAAAAGCAGTACTGGCTGATTGGTCAATGAATGCCAAATGTTTTTTATAAAAACATTTTCAAATATTAGCATTACCATTGTATAAGTCCTTTCTTGTATTCTATTTCAGTGTGTGTGTAAGACGTTTGCTTTAATTATGTGTATGTTATTTCTCTCTTTCTACCTTTACACATTCTGTATCTATTGATCAGTATTATGGTCTGTTTATGTGCCTACTCATATTTTCCTCTTTCTCTCACTATATATGTAATTTGCATCTATCTATCTATCTATCTATCTGTCTGTCTGCGTGTATCGTTCTTTCTTTCTTATTAGCGACGAAAGGATCAGATTTCTAAACACACACCTGCGTTACTTTTTGAGAATAGTCATTTGATTACAAATGCCTGTATTTCTGCTACGAATGAATGAAAGCGTTTTTATATAGCGAACTCGTCTCCTATATAATGATCACGTGGCGCCAAACAGCACTTTTTTCCAGTCTTTAATTAAATATCGATTCTTTTTAAATATATAACAAAAAGTGTGAAGAATTAATATATCCCTATTTGCATTGTGGAAGACGTATATATATTAAATATTTGAAAATTGCCTGGAACCGAGAAAAAATTTGTTTTTCCTGAAGGCATTTTAATTAGCAGTAAACCGAATCTACCTTTTACTACCGTTTACGAAACTGCAGACAATGCAGAAATATGTAAAAATGTTTTGAACATGATATGGACAAAAATTTTTTACTAAGCATAGTATAGTATCGCACAAGGCCACAATTATTGAGCGTCCTGTAAATATCGAATACATCATAGTTGAATTGGTTTAGAAAAATAATTTTCTAAACATTGCATCAAAACAATGAATATTTATTAAACTTATTCTTAATTTTTAGCATTTTTTTTGTCACGAAAAATTAACCCATTAAACTTTAAATACATCTTATAAACTGTACCATGGCAACAGTGGGTGTGTCCAGGTCAAGAGATAGTGTGAGGGAACTCATCCACCTTCAGACTGGTTTCGAATTCTGAGTTTGTCTTCTTCTATAATGGTTTTTCACCAATAGAAATTAATAAAAAATTGAAAAGTTTCTCCAACGATAATTTGTACTGAAGTTGATGCAACAGACTAAGCGCAAATTCGAACTTGGTTCGCCGATTCCACTTTGACGGCCGATATTCTTTACAATACTAGTATATTCGAAAGGTCACATATTGACCCCTATGAATTTTAAGAAAATAATAGAACTTATTAATTTGATCTATTATATATGATAACTATATATTATAATTTTATATATTTTTTTTTTTTATTTAAATTCATATGTATTTTTAAATTTATATTTATATCATATTGTCTAAATAATATTCAAAAGGTATAATGGATTACCAGACTTTTTTAAAAAAATAAAATCTGACGAATTTGACTCCAGAGACTAAAATAATTATAAGATCTTGAAAAGTGGTCGGTTAAATTTTTTTTTTTAACGAATATTATTTGTTCGATTCCATATCAATTAGGATTTGTTCGCTCAACACATGAATCAAGTAAATATATCACAAAAAGATAACGTAAAGGAAATGTTTTAAATCAAGATTTTTTTGTTTTTTACCATATAAGACTAATGAAATTTATATATAGAATTAAAATTTTAAATTTAATATATAATATATCATATAACTATATTTACAAAAATTTAATAAA